ATTTAAAAAAAATATATTGAATTTTAATTTAGTTGATTTTTGCTGATTTTTTTGTTTATTTTTTTTTTTGAATCAAAATGCTGAAGTCGATTCACTAAAATTACAATGAAGAAATTGGAATTAGCTTATGTTTGTACATTGTTAATTTAATGACTATGTTTACATTTTACTGTATATACAGTATGAGACATGTGACAAAAATGATTTTCTTCACTAGATTAAACATATTAAATTTATCATTTTTTGTTTACCAAATGTCTTTTTCAACGAAAAAAAAACGAACTTTATTACATAATGTCAAAGAATTATGTAAACTTACAAATATCTAATATCTTCAATTTATAGAAAAAAAAATAAAAATAAAAAAGGTTAATTAAAGGAACAGTCGAGGGCTCTTAGTCAATATAAGGAATGACATATCTCTTTCTACAAAAACTTTGGCAAGAAAATTGGAAAATATGAATATAAAAATATCGTACAAAATTATTGGAAGGCACCTTGCAAGTATTGGATATTTAAAAAAACTTCCCAAAGCAACCCCTATGTTAACAAGCCCACAAACAAAAACGTATAGAATGGGCAAAAAACACATTAATGATCGATGGAATAAAACAATATTTACTGATTAAACTTTTTTTCAACTTTTTAGAACATTGAAGAGCGTCGATGTAAAGGGGAAAGACCGGTCGCTGTATCCTAAGATCGTATAAATTATGGCTTGGGGTAATTTTGTATAAAAGGAAAAACAAGTTTATTTCGTTTTAAACAAATTATGAATTCTGAAACATAGTAATTTATTTATATTTCCTATTACCTTTTAAATGAAGAAAGTTTTGAATTATATAATTCTACATCAAATCATAATCAAGAATTGGGAAAGTAATTCTTAATTCACCTCGTAATTCAAATTTATTAATTTATAAAAAAATAAAATAAAAATTTTTTTCCACTGCTTCAGATTTTCTATTAACTTTAAAATTATCAATCTGATAATTTTTTATACGTTTTTATAGTTAGAACAGCAACTAATTTAAAATTAAATATCCAACTATCGAAAATGAAACAATCATTTGTTTTCATCCATTGATTATTATTATAAGTATTATCCTATGCTAAAGGATAATAACCTTTAGTTCCTTTAACTTTTGCCATTGTACCCAAAGTAGTTGTGGAGAAAAACCATTTCTAGTTCCACGCTAAATTATCAAATTCACAACTAGAATTTTCTGATCATCATAAAATACTGGTCGGTTCGGTCATATCATAAATTTCATGAAAGTTACGAATGTGCAGTAGGCGTAAAGTATTTTACAATGTAATTTTTATGTATTTGTATTTGAAACTGCCCTTTATTAATATATATAAATATTGCTATCTAACTACCTAAGTTAGTTTATTTCTAAACCAACTACATGAAGGTGAGTAGATGCACACGGTTCGTAGAGATAAAGACACTTTAAAAGTTTGTTTGAATATTGTTTCCATTTCCTAAAAGTTTAATTAAATTGTTTTATATAGATCATATCGTATTTATTTAGTATTTTTAGTTGTACTTTTAATAAATATCATGTCATGAATTGATTTTAATATTTAAGAAATCAAAAAATGGTTTAATTAATTCCTTACCCTTTATGATCACGCCGAAATTAAGTAGTTTGAAGACCTTGGGTACTTGGATAAACACAAATCAATAAAGCAAATCTTGATTTTATCCAAAAAACAAATTTATGTTAAGAATAATGGTAATATAGCAAATCAGTATGTTCAAGGTTGAGAAATTTGTGTCTAGATAAATTTCTTGCCACTAAATTTATATTAATTATTATAATGTGCTAACTGTACTGAGTATAGCAATTTATTATTTATAGAAATCACTTAGAACGATTATCAATCAAAAAGAACTATATGAATATTGTATCAAAAAAAAAAAAATCAATTAAAATGTATAGTAATAAGAAATCCAACCCCTAACCTTAATCTTAACCAATCCTTGACCCTAAACCTAATAAGCTTTCTTATGAACGCGCCTTTAATAAAAAGTTAAAAAAGTATAATTACAACTTATTAAGATAATTCCAATCGTACTACTGTAAAATAAATGTGGTGTTTACTTTATCATAAAATATTTATTTAATAGAAACAAATACAAAAAAAAAAAATTTTTTTTTTTCATTGTTTAACAACTTCAAATACTTCATAATTCTCAATTGAATATTTTGCCAATTTTCTAATAGGTTTTTCATAAATTCTGTAAATTTTGGAACAATAACCACAATCTAAATTAAAATTAAATTGATCACTATATAAATTAAAATCATCATATCCAAACCTTGGACCACAATTCTTTTGACTATTTTTGCATACATTAAGAATTGCACGTTCAGTTTTGACTACTCTGCTAAGAATTGAATTTTGAATTTTACCATTTTTTAATGAGAAAATGAAACTGTCATTTGTTTCCATAAATTGCTCGTCATCATGAGTATTATCCCATGTTAAAGGATTATAACCTCCAATAATTTCATCGGTTCCTTTAACTTTCACCACAACGACAGTACGAGCGTGATCATGGCAGGTATTCCAAAATGTTTGTGGAGCGAACCCATCTCTAGTTCCACGCAAAATTAATACAAACTTATAGGGAATATTTGTTGCTGGATAAGTAGTTGTTTCACGATCGATCCAACTAGAGATTTCCGCTGCATGATCTTCAGAAATGATAGATGAAAAAGGTTCTTTTGATCTTGCTGGTAAAACAATCGATTTTACTCGTCGTTCAGGAGCTACTACAATATGTTGATTGAGATCTTCCCAAAGTTGTTTATCAAGAATTTTTTTATAAGGCCTAATTTTATCATAAATATCAATATTTTTAATATGAAAATAACGAATAAGTGGTAGGCATTGTTGTAAAGTAGTTTTTAACGTGAGAAAATTTTCCTTCGTCCAGTCTTTTAAGTTTGTAGGGAGAGTAGGATTCTGAGCAATTCCCCACTTGATGCTGTAGTCCCAAATTTCAACTTCGTTCATTTTTCAAATCATCTCGTTTGAGAAGTGATACGAATGCAGATTCTGGAAGAGAAATGAAATCCGAATCAAAAATAAGATTTGGATGGTTGACTATAATATCATTACAAAAATTTTCTAAATCTTTAAAGTTTTGTATATCAAAAATTGTTTGGTAAACTAAAGAAAAACGTGTTTTCAACCAAGAAGCTTTATCTTCAATAAGAATAGTTTCTAGTTTTTTGGATAATTCCTCAAGTTCAAATATATTGGCTGCTTTCATTAAGTTCAAAATAAATCTGGGTTCAACTTTCTCTAAGTTAACAGTACCACCATAAATATATCTACATATTATATATATATATATATATATATATAATAATAATAATAATCATTAATTATTACTATTTAATTTATGTATTTAAAATGGTTATAATGTAACTTACTTGAGAATAATATCAAAAACCTCATCAGAAATATTAGATTTAATTATTGTTTTGTTATTGTTCTCATCGGGGTTGAGGTTTTCCAATTCTTTACGAAAATAAAGTGATCGATATTTCAATACGCTCGAGTGAGCAGTATAAGTTTTCTTATCTTTGGATTCGATAATCACATTATGATTATCTTTGTCATTAAGAAGGAGTTCAGTTAAATTTTGAGATAATTTATCAAAAAATTTTAATGAAATTTTTCTTTTTTGTGAATTTGATAAAACAGAAGTGAAATGCGCCTTTTTATTTGCATTTCTTATTGATGTCAAAACGGAAGGCAAATATTTGAACATTTTGAACATTTGAAGGGACATTTTCTTTCAGCGTTGAGTTAAGGTTGATTGGGAATTATGAATTTGCAATAACTGAGGATAACAGTTAGCAGATAATCAGATCAGATTATCAGATTCTGAGAAATATTAACATCATTTTAATTAGAAAATATCAAAATTGTATACCTACAATTAACGTATAATTTCTTTTTCTTTATATGCGTAATAATATGTTAATAATTAAACCATAATTGTAATATTTTTGTTTAAATAATCGAAAATAAACCTTGTTTCAACATTACCATTTGTCACAATTGTCACTCAATATTCATGTAAATTGATTTTTCTACCAAACAACTCCAAATAATTTCCTTTAACATACAATAATACATAGCATTACATTATCATTTATACATCAAATGACAAACGAAATGTTTTATTTTTATAATTGATTAGTTTCGAATTTTATTAACAAATGTTTCTACTCCAAAATACTCTCCGTCATTTGCACAAATGATAATATCAATCTTAGTTCTGAGTTACTTTTTTTTTCTGATTCTCTTTGTAATGAATTTTTACGTGTAATTGATGCCAAAGACATTTCTTCACAACTAAATGTCTTCACAACTAAATGGAATAGGGTCGCATTAATTCTACCATGGAACTTTATGCTTACCGATGAACTTGATCTCCTCACACGTTAAAAAACAATGCTCATACTTACCGATGGACTTGATCTCCTTACACGTTAAAAACAATGCTCTTATTGACAATCGTACAAAGTTTTGACTAGGATCTCCTTTATGAATATGGTTTCAATTTTAGTGAAATTGGGAAATAGACCAGTCTCAGCATCATTTCATCAAAATGCTTATGCCATTATTGCTGGATGCTTATTACGTGTAGCTGATTTAAAAATTGAAATTTATATATTATATTCTTACAATATATGTCGAGGTTACATATCACACGAGTGGCATTAGCTGATTTTTTTTTTTGCGAGCTTGATTTGTATTTACCATCACTAATTTATTGATATCGTTCTATAATTATGCTAAGTCTATATCCGGAAATTAGAGAATATTGCTTCAGTTGATCCGAAGCTGAATTTTTTGAACATATGGATTCCTGGCTCTTTTAAATAATCACATAACAAACAATAAGTTTTGCTGTTTCAACTATCGAACCACCACTTGTCTTCTGCGAGTGGACAATACTGTCTGAAAATCTAGTAGGCATCTATCTGACGTTCACCTTCTTTATCCATATTAAAATGTTCTAATTTTGGAGAATCAGTGAAATGCATCGTTAATTTGGTAGTAACCTGATTAAGCTCCTCTTTGACAGTTTTCTCTTGAATGGGAGAGCTTGGGCTTTTTAGATATTTGAGCATAAATGATATATTTACTTTGACTTTGAACCAGAAGAATCGGTACTAATCTCTGATTGTGATGATTCATAGCGCAGATATGCCAACATAAAGTGTCGAAATTACATGACCATATAATATTTTGGATTTATGGATAACGTTATAAGGTAAATGATTGTTGGAAGAAATTTTAATATATACATTATTTTCATTTTTTTCATAAAATTTATTTAATTGATTTATTCATGTTTCAGTAGGTGGTGGTAGTCAATTCGGTGTTCACGCTATGTGAAATTATATATTGTATTCACGTATTTCTAAACTGATTATATCATTCTGTTTTCTGTCTGCATAAAATAACAAATCATAATTAAAAAATAATTTATCTAATAGGATGACAATGGTAACGAAAATGTAATTGATGAAAAGAAGAGAAATCAATCTAAGATGTAAAAATACTTTTAAAGATTATTGACGGAGTAATCATATGTAACCTAGTATGTGATAAATATCTTATCAGTACCCTGGGGTTCGACTCTTATCATTAAATGCGTGTATAGGGTTAGGGTAGTGTGTGTCACGCCTTTGAATATCGAAAACCATATTTGTCATCCAAAATTGTCATCTCCTCAATGAAATTTTCTGATCGCCTATCTAATTATGGACCAATAAATTTAGAGGACATAGAATAACAGGAAATGATTCTGTACCCTGGGACAGGTTAAGAGTCCTCCAAAAAACATATGTACGTCATGCCAAGAAAATTTTATGCATTTAGGATATATATTCATTACTCATACAAAAATTCAAGTTCTTATTTCTTCATTTTATACTAGTGGATGTATTAATTCTTCGACTTTTCTTATTTGAATTATGATTTCATTATTATTAAAAATTTTCGTAATATTTTCCAACTCTTCATGCAATTCTTCAAAAGTGGGTCATTGTCGATGAGTAACTCGGACATACCAATCAATTGGGAATATAAATGATATTCTTTATTCATTACTTATTTTCAAAGAAAATCATTATCTTGGGGCGTAATAATCTCATAAGCTACAATTCCACATCAGATTTAGTGTATTCTTCCCACTTAATACTTCATGATATATACGATAAGTTAATACTCCTTTTTTGAATTTTTAATCATTTGCTCAATGAATTTACTTGATCCAAGATCTAAAATAAGTAATTTTTTTCCATGATAAATACCCTGGTGTTGTTAATTCTTTAAAAAAATACAAAATTATTTTAAATAATTTCCGAGATAGTATATTTATGCGTTTCTTGTTCAAGTAAAATTCCATCTCACATTTCTTCATAACTATTAGGAAAATTGCCATCTAAATAATCAATTGTTTCATTTATAAATGCTATATAATTTATAAATAATATTGCATATAATACTTTTCCTCGTTTAAGAAATTTAAATTTTTTCATTGTTGATTTTACCGAAGCTAAATAAATAAGTTAAGTATTTTATCTATTGTTTCATTTCGATTTGTTCATTTATCAATTCATTTTTTGAAACGTGTTGAGTTGTAAGGTTTACAACATTTTGAGCAAAGTATATTCTTGATGGTATAATATCTATATTTCTTTAGTCTCTCTCTCTCTCTGTAGAACAAGTTTACCAGAATAAATTTAAATGGTGCAAAAGTTAATTTCTTTGGTCAATTATTTTAAAGTCATCACAATTTTTTAATTTATTTATTCATTAAAAATTACACAAAAAAATAATGGCGTCAATAAATAATTTCTTTTTTTATCTTTTTCGTAACATTTTATCATTTCAATTGAACTCATTTCAAAATTATTAGATTATTGGATTAATTATTATTTATTAGACGAAATTGTAAAATTTAATATAAAGTATAACGTGATTGCATTCAAGAAACATTTACCAAAAAATGTTATTAATGCCATAATCTTTTAAACATTACTGAATATTTAACCAATATTTTTTAACAACTCCTTTATCTCATTTATTTATTATTTCATTTAATAGCCCATTTGCATTGACATTCCCATTTTCTTTTGCTTTATTTATCCAGTGGATAGCATTAACAATATCTCTATTGGTTCCACATCCTTCATAAAAGCATTTCCCGACCTCGTATTGACCATTAATATCACCACATTCCGCAGCCTTCTTATACCATTCAAATGCTTTCACTTGATCGATATTAATTCCATGACCCATTTTATAACAATATCCTAAGTCAGATTGAGCTTCACAATCACCTTTTTCAGCTGCCTTTAAAAACCATTCAAATGCTTTTTGGTAATTTCTATCCACACCTATACCATTAAAATAACAATACCCAACATGACATGTTGCATGAATATTTCCAGTAAGAGCAGATTTCATATACCACGAAAATCCTTTAGCTACATCTTTTGGTGTTCCAATTCCATTTTTATAACAAAAACCAACCATACTTTGTGAAACGAGAAGTCCTTTCTCTGCGGATTTTAAAAATAATTTAAATGCTTTTTCTTCATTTTTTTCAACACCATATCCATTCCTATAACATTCTGCTACTTCAGGCAAAGATATAATAAATGACCCTTCATTGGCAAGTTTAGAATAAATCTGAAAGGCCTTTTTCGCATCCTTTTCAACGCCCATGCCATCTAAATGCATATCTGCAAGAAATATTGTTGCAATTTCTTTGTTGATATTGCGTAGTTTCATTAAGAATGAGGAATTAGAGGAGGAGGCATTAATTATTTCATTAGCAGCCATATTAAAAAATTTAGCTGCCATTTGGTTATCAGTAACAGTCCCAATACCATTCTTGTAAAAAAATCCTATCATGCTAGTGAACCAAGAATGTGATGGATGGCTAATCATTTCATATAGAACTTCAACTGGATTCTTTTTATGCTCTTTAATATAATTTTTCATCATAATTGGTTGTGAATCTGCAAACTGGTTTTTAATACAATCAACAAAAATTTCAAATAAATCTTTAATAAAAACTTCAAATTCTGCTAATTTATTGACGAAAGGGGGATCTGAATGAACTTTTGGTTCGTTTTGTCTTAAAGAACAGAATTTTATAGTCAATAAATATTTTATAAGTTTCAAAAACATGTAAAACAATATAAAAAATGTAACTTACATATCCAATTTAACATAAAGAATTTCATCTGTAACATTTTGAGGCTGTGATTGAGGAATTTCATTTTCATGACTTGCATCAGAGATAATGATTTCGGAAAGATTTTTAAACACTTGAGAAATGTCTGGTCGTGAATTTCCATTTTGTTTCCAGCAATCTGTTAAACAGAATATATTCAATTTATATATTTTATTATGCAATAAATATAAATAATTTTAAATTGTTTTAAATTCATACCAGTATATATTTCTTTGTATTTAGGAGGTGTTCCAGGTATAATCATTTCTCTTTTTCCTTTTACAATATTGTTCAACAAATCAACATTTGACCTAGATTCCATCTCGAAGGGAGGATTGCCACTAGAAATTTCCCACAGAATAATCCCCAAACTGAAAATATCCGAACTCTTATTTTTACCAATTGTGTTGAAAATTTCTAAATATTGAGGGTCAATATATTGAATCGGGCCAAGAGTATTTGTAATGAATTTTAAAGATTCGGGCATAATTTTCGTTAATCCAAAAACATTAAATTTAATGATCCCATTATTAATAAGAATATTTTTAGAATTCTAATCAAATTATAAATAAAAGAAATTATAAATAATTCATATTTGGAATTTATTTTTAAATAAGAAATTAATTACCAATCTTCCATGAATAATATCATTAGAATGTAGAATCTTTAAGACATTGGCAATTTGTTTTGCAAGATTTAATTTCGCGTTCCAATCCAGTTTTTGGAAATTTGTTTTTAAATATTGACGAAGGGAACCGTTATTAATATATTCAAGAATAATCATATAATTATCAGTGCTCTCTATAAAAATCATATAAATTAATTAATTAAAAAATATTAATCTTTAATGCTTATTATTTGTAAAAATATACCTTACCTTGCTTCGTAATGCCATAAAATTTAAGAATATTATCATGCATTTCCAATTTTAGATGGCTTTTAATCTTTTTCAATTTAAAATAATAAAAATAGTAATATATAATATAATAATATAATATAATATAATAATACTTATTAGGACTCAAATTAGACAGAGATTTAGTTAATTCTCAAGTTGCCTTTCAAAATTTTCTTCATTCTTGAATTTTGAAAATTGGAATAATTAAGAAGTCGAATAGCATAAATTACTTGTGAATGTGTTTTACAATTCATTGGAGCTGTAGTTGTTTTATTGTTTAATTCTTGATTTGCTAAAAATTCTTCAGATTTTTAATTTAAAAATGATTTCTGAATCTTAATCTTTAATTCTTTAAAAGTGGATCTTTGTATAACTCTAGCATCCCAACTTTTTATAATCATTCTTGTAATTTTTTTTTAAATCCAACAGAGTCTTGCTCCAATAAACTTTTATTAATAAATTAGGTGTAAATTTTAAGATACATATAATTTATTTTACATTTATTGAAACTGACTAAAAATAACATTTAACTGTCTAACACATCATTGCCTAAATGTAACCTCAGAAACTGATGGCCAAAACCCCATCAGATGTAATTATTATATATTTTAACTGTAATTATTATTATATTTGTTTCCTAAGTTAATCCACATTCTAAATTTATTTAGAGTGTTCTTTTTTATTTGTTCTATTTTAATGTATTTTCCTTCATTAGTTTCTACTAACTTTATACTGTCATTATATGTATTTATATATTTTTTATTTTAAGATTTTCTCTTATTTCTCTCACTTTTTTTAAATTAGTTTTCCTTTTTTTTCTTTTTCAATCTATTTGTAATATTATTTTTAGTTTATACCATAGTGCCACTTTTTCACATCATTCCTTTCAGTAGTATTTTAAGTACTCTTTGAAGTTAACCATTTCTTCATTAATTACTTTCCTGGTCCTTTCTCTAGATTTCAACATTGATGTAACTTTGAATACTAATGATTGTGATATGAATTCCTTGATTAATTCATGTAATGTGATCCTAGGTGAACTCATTTCATCTGTATCTCTAAAAAA